GCAAGGGTTCAAAGCGAAGGATGTCGTATCGTGTATGTGTCAGTAGGTGTAGCTTGACCTTCTCAACTATTTTGCTTGGCTCTATATCACAGAATGTATTGAGCACGTTTGCAAGAGTGACCTCAATGTCATCCTGAGATGTACCAATTAGCATCTATTCCTGACGTCGAACTATAGACATACCAGATACTCGTCTAGATTTTGTATCTCAGGGAACCAAATAAGAGATGAAAACTCTCCTGCTGCTCGCCAAAGCTGAAACACAAGTGGCGGTACAAGATCGTAGGCATGAAACGAGATTGTTTGTGTAATCGTCTTGAGCTGGCGACCCACAAGAGAACTCACGTATTGCATGATGTACTGAGCACGGACTGCGGGGATTGATAGGCCTTTGACATCTGTTGCCTGAAGCCGATGAGCGTAGAGATTTTTCTGCTCTGTAGTCTACTGTATATGGGTCATATGCCAGACATACTTTGTCATCCCCAAAAGAATAGTGTGAAGGATCTCGATGGGTGTGTCCTGTGTTGGATCAAATCCATCAACAGTGAAGAAAGGGCTGATAATTATCTCCTTGTGTTCTTCAACCCACTGTTGGAGCTCATCGCGTATTGAGTCCTTAGTGCGTGAGCTATTGTCTCTCTTCATCTGCCGTGCACGCTTGAGCAAGCGGTTGATCCAATGCTGAGTATATAGATCCTTGACCCCTGTGGCTGTCAGGAGATCTTTAACGGATTTTGCAACGCCCATACATGCCACCGCTACCTGCTTCTCAAGTTCTCAAAGTATTCCTTCCTTGGTGCGTGGTGTCCCAACCTGGAAAAGGCTGTGGTAGCCTGCATCTGTCTCCTTGTGTGCCTTTGTTCCACCTGCATCGCACTTTCGACAGTAGCAATTACCACGTCCACCGATATGAGCAGATACTTCACTCTGCATGGGGTTGTCAGATGGTTGAGCATTGACATGAAGCCAGAAGCGGACGTTCTCTCCGGTGATGCTGTCCCGGACAACAACAGGGTTGGTGTGCGTAGATCCGAGGATTTTCTTAAACGCCATGAACTGTTCGGCAATCGAGGCATGCTGGGAAGTGGATAAAAAGTGCGTATGGAATTCTTGCTGCAGAAGCTCACGTGGCAGATTCTGATGTGTGACATAGGCATTCCAGTGTTTGTTCCAAGACTTTGAGCGATTACCGGATACATCATCTCCAAAATAGTCGACGAAGCTGGTGTACAGTGGATCTCCCTGCGCAACCTCTTGCAAGTGATTGGGCATGTTCTCAGGATATCTCCAGCTAGTTGCTCGCTCTAAGAATGAATTATCTATCAGTGAAGCTTTAAAATTGCCAAAAGAAAATAGCCCTACCATCCCAGCTGTGCGGTAGTACCTTGGCTTCTGCCAAATCATGGTAGTTGTAGCAAAGGGCCTTCGCTTCAATATCGATAGATTTAGCATTGTTAACTGAAGCTGTACCCCTCAAAATTTTATTCAGCCTCTAACTGTTGGACCTGCTTGAGAGGACGAAGGGCATGGCTCACACTTTGGTCAATTGTTACAGTAAATGCATCTGCATGAACTTCACCATGGACTACAACCCAGCGTATAGGAATAACAAAGGTTCCATCCTGCAGCTTGGCCAGCTCGTCAACATAGAAGTGCTTACCAGCACCGGCATCGTACATCGGGCTGAGCATCCGTGTGTCCATCTCGTGGCGCCACTTATTAGCATGCCAGACCTCATGGATTCCACCCTCTGGGACCTCAGGATAGACATGGATATATGGTCGAGTCTGGGGGTTTGCCGAATCCTATTGAAATTACAGACAAGTATGAGCTGAGTTGTACCATAATTTTTCCACAGCGTCACGCACCTTGGCGATAATACTCCGAATATCATTCATGTAGAAGACATTCCCGAGTTCAGACTGGCATCGTATAGAGGGTACGCCACACTTCTGGGGTAGTTTCTCTTGTGTATGGCGAAGCTTGTAGAGCAAAGGAACATCACGGGCACCTGTCTCCTTGAGAGTCCAAAGAAATATCTGCATGAGTGAATTGGAGACAGGGCACCGAGGTAGGTTATCGATGGTATCAAGAAGAAACATCTGTAATACAAGAGTGTGTCAACTAAGATCAGGTTCATAAGCACTAGACTCACTGTCTTTGACTCATACGGAGCCCATTGGTTTGACAACGCAGCATCAGCATCGCTTGGCACAAAAGCAGGCAGCTCATAGTTAGCTGCATCCTCTACAGACGGCGGGTCCAGTTCTATTATGCAAGAACAAAAGCATCAGTATCTGAGTTGTTACAAAAGGACGAGCAGGCAAGATGCATACTGGTGCTGGCAAGAAGGTCTGCTAGAAGTTCGTCCAGATCCTCAGAGCCAAGGCGAAGCTCGAGGAATGGATCAGAGCCAGGGCTTTCATTCCCGAAGCCTAGGTCCTGAGCTGTGGAATGGGCGTTCCAGATTCCAAAGGCCTCTGCATTCTGCTTGAGGTGACGTTGACTCTCTGCCGCTGCCAAATCAGGATCCTCTCTGGCATTAAACGTGAACGCGTGTGGATCCTGTGAGAAGTCAGCCCAGAACTCCTCTTCTGCTGTGCTGGACGCATTTCTCGCTAAAGCAGGCTGTCTAGGTTGTATCAAGTTAATTGATTGCAGTGCCAATGAAGCCCCAGCCCTTCGCTGTTCTCTGCGGTTGAGTGTTTCGGCGATGGCTGCAACTTGAGCTCCTTGGCGCTCATGCTCCTCTACCACTTCCACGTGGGACCTTCCCTTGATGTGAGCTGCCACACTTTTCTTGCGAATTGTTGGTCCTCCCTCTTCAGGAGAGCAGAGAACACAGCGCATTTCGGAGCCGTCTCCTGAAGGCATAAAATCTGGCTGCCTCGTAAGCATTGTTGCTTGCCTAAATTTCTATAAAATAAACCGACATTTCTTGTACAATTCTTGGCGAGACATACTTCCAGGACGTGAACACCGATAGGTGAAGTAAAAAATGGAGACGGCTTATGATGTGTGTGGTTTCACTCACGCCAATGGATCGCGTGCGGCCGTTATTGATTGAGACATGAGCAGTCCTTCAAAAGGCCACCAACTGACCACAATATAAAACCACAGAACGGCACGCCATTCTTCCTCCTGAACACACATCGACATGCCCTCTGCGTCTTCTGCAACTGCCTTCTGTGATGAGCTTGAACAGTTTGCTAATGCCAACAGCTCGCCACCTGGCAGCCCCAGGCAACCGGCCACGGTTCTCGGAAAACGAATCCGCCCCGCTGAGAGCACAAGTGATTTGGAGGAAGAGGACACTAGCACTATCAGAGGCTGCTCTCAAGATCCTACTACCAGTCAAGATGATACTTCCCCTATCCACTCTAC